GTTCCTGAGAAGGCTGCGTGAGTTCAGAAGGTGTCTCGTAGTCTTTAGACTTGTTGAGCTCTTTATAAAGACTTAGAGTCAGTCCTGTGCAGTTTAGAGACAGAGATAGATAGATATGTACTTTATTAACCCCCTATTGGAGAAATTCTTCTTTTCACTCTTTTTTTTATTTTATACACACACAGGCTGAAATGCACATTCATGCACATGCAGGGATTGTGGACATGCAACAGGGAGAGAGATGGTGGAGTGATGGGCTGCCACGTTAACAGCGCCCCATGAGCAGTTTCTTGAGGTTAGGTTCCCTTGCTCAAGGGCACCTCGGCAGTGCACAGGAGGTGAAACTGGCACCAGTCCAGCTACCAGTCCACACTCCGTATTGTGGTCTGTGGGACTTGAACGGGGGACCTTCCGGTTCCCAAGCCAAGTCTCTACACACTGAGCTATTTTTTTTGCAAGTATCCTAAAAAAATTTTTTTAAAAAAAGAAAAAATTCATAAATGTTTAGCAGGAATCACAGACTGAAGATCTTTAACGCCAAATGAGGATTTTTATTCACGCTTTGACTTTTGTAAAATCTTGTTTCACTAGTTCAGTGATCAAACAAGCTCTCTTACTTTCCACGTGGTGCCAGTTCTGGCAGGATGTTTGACAGAACTACAACAGCTGCTGTGTCAGATACTTCCGTTCACGGAGATTAGTCTTTTTTCTTCAAAGTGTTCCTCAGCTTCCACTGGCCTTTCTGCAGCAAAGCAGTGGAATAATCTAATCCTACAGGTCAAGGCAGAGGCCACCGCTTCAGTCGGGATGTGCAAAATCAAACACCGCGCTTGAGGAAAGAAGTGCCCGACAGAGCTGTTAGGCAGTACCGTTTTTATTGCCTCTAACGCTCTGTGATCTGTGCTCATTTTAATGTCAGTTTATCACACTGAGTTTTCATTGCTTGTCATTTTTTGGCTTTGTTTTGTTTTAAGACTCATTACAGTCTTTCAGTGGCTAGATTTTTATGCTGGTTATAAGTAATCATGCCAAGCAAAATTGCTTACCCCACTGGCAGGTTTTGAAAATTGGATTATATTTAAGATGATCTGTCTTGTTTCTAGAAAGTCTGTTTTTGCAGTGCAGTTTTGTCCAATATAAGATAAAGAAGAGGGGGTTTGCCCATTTTCATATCTATGTGGACAGATATATTTACAAAAACAACCTTAAAATACTAGTGCAGATGCATGGCGTGTAAACCTGCGTTTGGATTTGACCAAAAGACCACATTTTACCAATTTTAGTGAAATTCTTTGATTGAAACTAAGATTTTAGGGACCCTTTTAATAGCAGAACGGTTACAATAATACACGATGACCCCCCCCTATTTGAGATCAAACAGCACTATCCCAATCCTTTAATATTCCCTCCAGGCATGTCTCACTGTTAGGAACACAGGGAGCTTTCCTTTGAAGCTGATGACAAATCATGAGTTCAGCAACATGAATCAGAGAAGATTTCAGTGTTTTATCTCAGTAATGACAAATAGCACATCAGTACTGGCCTGTTAACACCCTGCTTTACTGGAACATCCCAGCCAACGTGGTTCACTGTGGATTTCTGAGCTCAGTTCCTACTGTCATATATACAATTATATAGAAATATAACCACCCCTTATGTCTTTAGTTCAACAGAAGGAACCAGAGGTGTGGACTTGAGTCATACTTGACTTACAACTTATACAAGACTCTCAACTGGACTTGGACTTTAACACCAAAGACTTGTGACTTAAGCAGTTGGACTTTAAAATACTAATACTTAAATATCCAAATCATTTTTTTACACAAACTTCCTACAGTTCTGTGTTCATTATTTGGGTTCATTGTACAGTTTCTCAGTAGTTCTGTACTGTTATTGTTATACATTAAATATAATATGAAATATCCATAAGTCAGAGGTCGTCAGTTTACTCAATGATAGAAAAGGGCTCCCTTAAATAAAAAGGTTGGGAACCACTGTCCTAAAACAACCAACGTTAACACTTCATTCATTGCAAGTTGACGCTTAATTCCACAGATTCGCTTAGTGAACCACTCCGACAACAATTTGGAAAAAATGATACCACAGATGCATTTGTTTGAGTACAAAGGGCGGTGGTCACATTGTAACTTAAAGTCACAAGTAAGTCTCAAAAACTTGAGACTTCCTTGAGGGTTGCAAAACAATGACTTGGTCTCACCTCTGAGGGGGACTATTTCACTCATTCTCACACACCCAGACTCTTCCCACACACAAACTACTTCTAATTAACATGAACTGATCCTGATGTAGAAATCACTTTACAGTAAGACATGGGAGAGATATCCAATCTAAAGAAAATGAATTAGAACATGTTGTGCATGTTGAGGCTTGTATCCTGGGCTACGTGTCTTTGGGTTTATGTATCTGTATGCAGAATCCGCCTTCAGTCTCACATCTGCAGCTCATTCCAGGGTGGTGATCTTCAGGCTGCAGTGTCTGATGGGGGAAGCGGTAGCATTGGACCATCACAGGACCCAGCCCTGTTTATCTCAGATTCTCAAACAAAAGCCTCCCAGTTCCTGTCTGCTTAGCGCCTCAAATCCACAATCTACTCTCCCAATCTGCTCTCTCTCTTTCTTTCCCTCCTCTCCTCGTTTTGCTGCCAAGACGTGATCCCCCTTCTGTTAACTGTGTAATGAGGAAGATCTATTTTCTCATGAGACTGAATGAGCTGTGTTTCCTGACAGATGAAGTCAATCAGCGGGCCCGGATCAATTAGCCAAAAGCTGGAGAGTGACCACAGTTACAGGAGCTTGTTTTCTCTCTGCCCTCTGTGCCCAAACACATGCTGACTGACTGGGAAACACATTTTGTTGCTGGCTCACTAACACTGCAAGCACTTGGTTGACAAATGATTTCTTTATCCAGGGCACACCCTAGTGGTCAACGAGTGCAACAATGACTGCGCCTGAGCTTATTGTTGGACATACCTGTACTGAACTTCCCTCAATCCACTGGCACTATGGACCTTTTTCACAGCAGCCAATGATACTAATAAGGTTCGGTTCCATTAAGTGTATCAGAGCCTTTCCAGTGAGCCAGCATGTACAATAGCAGCACCCGGACTCTGTTTGACCTGAATGGAACGGGACCTTAATAAGTATCATTGGTGACACTTGTGTTTACCCTATTGTTTCATGTCAAAATGGCTGCTGTGAAAAAGCTCTGTAGAGGCTGATCTTATTTAAAACTGAAGATTGGAACTCAGGTTTTCGGGGCCTTTAAAGTGAATTTTGGAGTCAGAGGGGTTTTAGAAGGAATACAGTTTTTCAGGGCCAGTACAGATACCGATTATTAGTAATCAATGACACAGATAATCCATATTTGGAACCTATTTGCTGTGAAAATCTTGTGTCAAAATGTAGAATAAGAAGTGGTGGACTCTATGTACATTTACTGAAGTACTGCACATAAGTAACATTTTTTGAAGGCAAGTATTGTACTTTTTACTCCATTTATTTGATTACTTTAGTCACTTTGCAGATTCACATTATTAATACAAACTATAAAACTACTAATAAACTATAATGTATATTTCGTTAAATAAGCAACCTCGCATCCATATCATATCTTTAAAAGTAATATGTCAGTGTTGCCTGCAAGTGGCCAAAAAAACATTAAATTGAAGGAGGAGATAGGGGAAGAGCTTGGCTTTTTATCTGTTGACTGAAATATGAAGTGATATGCGAAGACATGAGTCTGAAATTAATCTTGAAAATAAATATCAGCTGGCTAAAACAGCATTTTTTTATGATTTATGTTCTTACTACTCCCCTGCACAAAACCTATGAGCTACGGACACAGTCTGTATTCGAGGAACGGTATCCATATGACGTATCTACTGACCCATATTCCACTTTATTTCAGGATACTAAACAACATAAAACTGACTGTAAAAAGGTAGCTAACGTACGTAATCACATTACATTACAATAAACACATTTCCCTGGAGAATAGCATTGGATATTTGCCATCTTTGTACTTCAGGTTTTCAAAATTCAGCTAAGTTTGCACATATTGTGCTGTAATATTCTACATGTACTAACCAGAAGCTGTGCAGTCAGGATGTACGTACTGTTCCCGTTTGTTTTTACAAGAATAAGTAGGCAGCAGACAGCCGTCACGCCACCATGAGGACATGCAGTTACTCAAGTACTGTATTTACATCCATATTCAAGGTACTTGAGTACTTCCATTTAATGCGACTTTATACTTCTACTCCACCATCGAGGTAAATCTTGCGCTTTCTAGTCCACTACATTTGTCCAACGTATTTCTTACTTCTCAGATTTCAATTTTAAACTCCTTTCCTATCCAGTAAAAACCAAAACTGGTTATTTATTTTTGTTTGAATGTTTGTGATAAACTGAAGGGCAAAGTGTTCCTTTATGGTACTTCTTAAGCTACAGTAACTATTTAAAAATTATCTAGAAAACGCAGTCACAAAGCTGAAAACAGGCCTGTCTTTTTGAGCTAACCATTTTCTTAAAACTAGGTCAAAGAAAAGAATTGTTATATATTGCAATATATTGAACTGCAACCCCTGTATCGTGATACGTATCGCATCGCCAGACTCTTGCCAACACACAGCCCTAATAAACATGTGATGATATACAGAATATGATGCATTGCCACCAGTATATAAAGTAGTTCAAATGAGCTCAACCTTAAACATCTACAGCAGCAAAATGCAACACACACATCAGATATAATAGTAAAACACTGACAGGGAACATTTTACTGCACTAGGACTTTTCATACTTTGAGTACATTTTGCTATAATACTTACATACTCTGACTTGCAGTGTTGAATGCAGGACTTTTACTTAAGTAGGTTCTGAATTAATTCTTCTTCCAACAGAGGGTGTCAGGACATGAAGAGACGTGTAAATGTCCTTTGTATGAAAGCCAAATTCATGCAGAAACATGAGGACAACAAAGACATCAACAGTGAAATTTATTCAATAAATTAACATATTCAACATATTCATTATTGTGGGATGATTCAGCAGTTTTCTGTAGCACCTTAATCAGATAAAAAGAGTGTGCTTTGAACATCGGAGATTAAACCTGACTTAATTCACTACAATAAGACAAAACTTAAACCCAGATAACTGCTCATGCTGTTTAATCTGACGGATCAGCAGGAAAAGTTTCAAAACAAACCAACCATTCATTTGTCCAACCTGAAGTTCAACATTCCTATTATGGAACAAGGACCATTTCTCATCTTAGATAACTGGACATTCCCTGCATGCCTGCCCTCCTCTCCTCTGCTTTTTCCAGTTCCTTCTGCAGACACAAAGTGCTTTGGAACATGTTTTGTAGTGGTTATTTTGAGCCTTAAGTAGAAACCCCATTTGTATCAGGGTCAGATATTTCAACAAGTCTTAAAGAGAACACTCCATGGGAAGAAGGAGAGATGTGTGCAGAGTGGTTATTTACAGGATACGGTTATAATGAACCAGGCTGCATTTTTGCAGCATGAAAACTAGTCAAAGTACCTTTCAATGATGGAAGATCAATTTCTAGGAATTTATATTTGGATTAAACAAACTGCAACAGCTTGGCAAGTTAATGGAGTGCAGCAGACGAGCTCCATATTCAGGCCAGCATTGTGATGCCCAGGCGCGTTCAGGGAGAGAGCCAAATGAGGGGAGTGAATTGAGAGATTTGGACGAGGGTCTGAAAGCCTGAAATATTGCTTTTGAAAACTTTGTAAAGATCTGTCAGACAAACAGTACACACACAGGTGCAGACCTCCATGAGAGCTGACAGGTGGCTCTTGCTTTTTAAAGCTGCACATGGTAAACTGTTCATGCTGGCAGCTCCACATAGAAAACTAAAGGTATTCTTTAACACCCCAAAATCCTGAAGGGTGAAGTCAGTAAAGTTCACGTGGATGGTGTTTTTTACTTTATACTGAAGGGGGAAATGGGCAACATGATTTGCTAACTGCTAAAGGCAAGGACTAAATGACTACACCAGTGTTTTTGAATGTTTTACCCCATTTGCTAACCTTGTAAGGCTTCACGCTATGCACTTGTATTCAAACCACAGTGGTTGGGACCAATCAGCATCCTATGAGGAACTACTGGCAGCTACGACCGTGCTTTAACACACTTTAACACTAACCCTCGCGAACCAACCCAGTATGCCAAAAAATAATGTTCAGGCCAACATTCAGTGGCAATGCAGGAAATGGTTTGCACTTTATGTGTTGACATAGGAGGAAGTAAAAAAAGGTTCAGTTTTATGCAAATATTTTTTAAAACATCAACCCGGAGAAACCCAATTACACCGCTTGTTTTGATTACATTGGAAAATGGAACAATGGCTGTTAGCAGCTGAGCTGCTCCAGCTCAACCATGTGAAGGTCCTACAAATGTTGGAGAAGCTGATTGTTGCAGTAAATGGTTTCCTCATTCAATAAGACATATATCAAATTCTGGCCTAATGTGGCTATAACACCAGCAAAGACTGAGTGTCCTGAAATACTTCACTGTTAAAGATGGAATGTGTGCTCTGCTACAAAGACGTCCTGTCTCCACAGAGGTGACAAGCAGACAGCAACAGCTAAATTTAAGATCGGCAGTCAGAAAAAAACAGAAGAAAAAAATGCAACCCACAAACAAACTTCATTTTGAAATGTGTCTTTAACTTCCCTTGTGTTCTGGTGCTAAAGAGTAAATCATGTTCAGCTTCAGACAGCAATATCATAAAGAGGATGTTTGGCCTGAACCACTACACATAAATGAAAGTTATGAAACTTCCAAATGAGGTCGTGCCACTTTATGGAATTCATAAACAACTTCCTGCGTCTCCTTCCAAAAATACTAAGACCTCGCTGAGCTTTCTGGGCCCTCTCTATAAGTGGTTTTAGTGGAGCAACAGACACTATAAATAGCAGCCAGGATCACTGCTTCCTTGAGACTCCAGTGTCTGTATCAAACAAAGGCTGTCGCCAGGCGCGGGCTGTGTCTCGTAGGAATCTAGAGATGAAGCGAAGCAGCATCTGGAGTGTGTCCCTCTGAGAGCTGCTGTGACACATAACGCTCCCCGGTATTCCTCTGGATGTTACTTTAGAAAAACAAAAACCGACCTTTTAGTTATCCAGGGAATGTTGACTGAGCATGCACGCAATGTCTCATTCTGCATTTTTTCTGCCACTCAGCATTTACGGTACACCTACAAGTTCGGTGACTTACATGTACGTTCCTGGCAGGTCCAGGATTCAATCCAGTGATCCAGGATTCCAGCCTCTGTTGCCAAAAACTGTGCCTCTTGTCGTCTTCCTCTCCCTGAGCTCTGACACTTGTTCAAATAAATACCCATCTGAAAGCATCTCTAATATTAGAAGCCAACTCTTCTCTTGTAGTGCGAGTTACGCTTCTGTATTTATTTAAATGGCAAACATTAAGTGCTATTTAAGACTTTATAGCTGCAATTTATACTTGAGATTACACACTGGTGCCTCCACTGGCAACAACCAACCCTAGCTAAAATAAGTAACGTTCACACAGCACGCCCATGTATACCAAGCTAAGCCAGCGACCGGGACAGTTTATAGTGAGGGAAACCAAAGGGAGCAGTGGTGAATGCAGCTTTGTCTAGAACAGATGTTCCTTCCAGAGGCATCATGAACCCCCACATTGATACACATCAGGCTGCAGGCTGCAAGTGTCCATATCCAAACAGTATGTTTACAAGCACACTATAAAAGAAGACATATCAATAAAGGATATTAAGGACATAAACTCTGCCAATAGCCAATAATCACAGCAAGAGTAGACAGGGTGTTAATGGTAATATAACAGGTTCAAACTACAACATCAAATTAATACCAGGACGAGTCTACACTGGCATTGTTGCCTCTCAAGATGCTCTCTGTGTCAGATTAGGTGATCATACATCAAAAATTCTTGCTGTGGCTTGGCCAAAAAAACATCCCAGACCACACGGCGAACCCCTACCAATGATAGATCAGCACTGACATGCCAGGGACCAACTTCATCCTGCTTTTGCTCTGTGCTCCTGACTCCTGGCCAACGTCAAAGAACACGTATAGAAGTAGGCAAGGCTAGTGTTTGTATCCTAGATGCTGTGTAGGTTGTCTGAAGTCACTTTTGTTCTCCAACATCCCAAGTCCATCTGGTCAAGCCATTATAGCAGTGGTTCCCAAACATTTTAAAAACACAGCAACCCCCTAATGGGACATTTTTTGTCATGGCACCCCTATACGCAGCTACACCAGTCCGCAAAGCTGTGAGCCATACAGCTTACACTGTAATCTAGCTCTTTACGTCAGCTAATGTTCGCATGTCTCAGAATGCATTGACATCTTCGCACTACAGAAACTCATGAGCCACAAAGTGTGCTACATCACTATGACAGCCGGCAACCAGAAGCACTCTTGTTATTAGCTGCAGCATAGCTGCATATTTAACAGTTTCAAAAACTGTGATTCTAAATGCTGCCTTTTTTCTTTTATGGGGCGAAACTTTATTAAAAACAGCAAAATAAAATGAAAGCTGCAAGCAGCGATGTTTGGGCAGTCCATGTGGGTCCTGGTTGTGCTGCGGTTGCGTCAGCATCATGTGTAGACCACACATTACATATTATTATTTATATATATATATATATATAAATATATATATAAATATAATATAAAATATATATAAAATTAAATAAATTCCCTAGGTGGAGGAGTTAAAGAACAACGCACCGAAACGGCAAAAATCACCACTAAATTCAAAATGGCCGACTTCCTATTGGGTTTGGGGTATGGGTCCAAGAGGCTTTTTGGTTTGTCTGGTCATGATACACGTGTGTACCGATTTGCATACATATCGGTGAAACGTGAGCGGCCGAGTTTAGGGGGGCACGGTCAAGCCCTTTTGCCCCGCCCATGTGCAGGACCCATAGAATCTGCACATTTCCACCACCATTGAATTTTGTCCCGCGTTTCATGTGTTTGAGCATACGGCCACCAAAAAAGCGGTCCATTTGGCACAAAAATAATAATTCCTTGCATTTCAAAAGGGTCCTTGCAGCGCTCCATGCTCGGGCCCTAGAAAACAAATGTTGCAGCACACATTGGGAACCACTGCCATATTGGACTGATTAACTATAGTATTAGCCAGGTATAAGGTGTACACATCCCACAGACTGACAGGTATTCCAGTTCTGGTAATCAAAATAGCTTATTCTCTTAACTGCTTAAGGTTTTTGCAATAACCTAGTTAAAATTCTATTGTTGGTTAGAATGTAAACACAATGAATGAATGTCATTTGTGCAACAGAGGAGCTAGGATCCTCCTCTGCCTTACCCCTGCTGTGTAACCCCCGAGTGTTGAGGTGAAAGTGCTGCTTTGAAAAGAAGTGTGCGAGAAAACTGTGCGTCTACTGTTATCATATCTATTGCATTTGGCACCTTTGTTGTGTTTTTCTCAAAACTGTGCAGCAGCTCTGTGAATCTTCAGTCTTTCTTTGATCCGGCTCCTGCTCCAGGTGACACTCATTGATAGCAGAGGTAGCTGATGATGAGTTTTGGTATGTTCAGTTGACCTATGACCTTCAGAGCTCTGGTGCCCAGCTTCTTCCTCATCGCCAACCTGCTGAGCTGCTGCAGGCTCATGGGAGTGGCTGCAGAAATGAAGAGTTAGATATACAGTAAGTGTTCTCAATATGTGGTGGAACAGAGTCATGGGTCTGGAAAATGGATTGCAGTATCAGTATGGCAATTTGGAAATAGTTTCAACAGTTTTCTTGCTTGTATTCAAAGTCTAAAAACTGCTGCACATTCCCTGTTGCACATTGTGCTCCACTTTCTATATAAAGCTCTGGTACTAGAGTCGAGTGGCAAACATATACATGACCAACTGTATATATGAACATCATGGTAAACAACAGGTGTCCTCTGTCTGAGACTTCCTGAAGTGAAAAGCGATCATTGCTTGCCATCTGCTGGCGGTACACTGACACTACACTGTTGCACAGAGCGTGAGGCAGATACATAAACTGGGAGATCTACATAAATGGTGATGTTTGTTTTGATTGTTTTACACGTACTCTCATAAAACTGTAGGCAGGCTGCGGAGGGGGACCCCTGCGTGGTGTAATCGGCGGGTTTCCTGTTGTGCTGATCTCTGGCGTAGATGTTGGCCCCGAACTCCACCAGGATCTCTATCATCTCAACCCGCATGTTTTTAGCAGCGTGGTGCAGCGGGGTCTCGTGCAGCCGGGCCGCATTCACTTTAGCACCTGAAAGGAAAAGGACGCAGATGTTGGCTCTTGATGGATAATGCTGGTGATATTTTGTTTTCCTTATTGTAAACAAATGTCACAAGCTAGCTAACCTGTCCTGAAGTTACACCAGTGCTGGAATAAAAACACCCAAACTCACGATGCGTCTAACTAGATTTAAACCTGCAAAATCTGAGAGCAGTAAACATACAAACAAGTATCAAATTTAAAGCCATGCGGCATCTGCTCTGGTACATTTTCCCATCCTGCTTTGCGCTAATACTCACCTGCATTTAGCAGCACTTTAACACAGTCAGTGTGTTCGTTAGCACAAGCCACATGCAGCGGGGTCCCGTAGTAAAGGTCATACGCTTCCAGACACGCATCCATGGCAATCAGGAGCTTCACACAGTCTGAGTTTCCTGAAGAATGACAGAAAATATCCTATAAGTTTATCTATAAAGACTTAAAAAAAGAGGTGGGTATCTCGATTTCACCGAAACTAAAAAGGCATGTGAAGTGAGCTGAGGCACACTCACCTCCCATGCAGGCCTCATGGAGGGGTGAGGCCGTGCGGGAGGTGAGGGCGGGGTTGGCCTTGGCGCCATGCTCCAGCAAGAGCCTCACACACTCCAAACTACCAGCCGAACAGGCATCACACAGCGGGGTGCTCCCGTCTACGTTCCTCGCATCCACCTGGGATACATCACAGGACATGGGATTATATCATTTCCTCTCCTCATTCACTCAATTAGTCCAACAACCCTGGTAACTCCCTTCTGTGTCTTCCCTTTTTTATTTTTCCTATATTTATTTTTAGTTTGCTCTTTTTTCACAGTTCTGAACTGTTGGTTGAATATTTTTAATCAATTAAACTTAAAAAGTGTTTGGAAAAGTCTGTCTCACCTGGGCTCCAGCCTCCAGCAGCAGTCGAACGCACTGGGTCTGCCCGCGGAGACAGGCCTCGTGCAGCGGTGTGATGGAGTCCACCGCCACGATATTGACCGAGGCTCCGCTCTGGATCAGGTGCTGCAGTGTGGAGGCCTGGCCGAGGGACGCCGCCTTGTGCACCTCCGTTCTCTCTGACCAGCAACCTGCAGGGGAACGGGTCACAGAACACAGTGTATGTATTTAGGGCTGTATTGAATAGTTTGGAAGCTTTGTTCGTGTTTGTTCACATTAGAATTCTAAATAAACATTTGGTTGCTGTACAGGTTGAGACCCAGTGTCATGGTTGTGTAAAGAGCTGCAGGTCTGTTTGACTGAGGGCAGGGCTGAGCTGAAGAGCAGCAGACAGAGCGGGGCAGAGGGCAGCAGACACGATGAAGCGCTGCATTCACACAAAATCCTTCCTGCAGGGTTGTGCCGAGATGTGGTCGGGTTTATTTCTGCTTTAGAATGTAACCACCATGAAACGAGCTTCACTGCTTTGTTCTCCGTAACGCCTCCTCACTCTCTAGCCCACTTGACCAATGCTGCTCTTGGGCAACCAAGGAATCCTACTCATTCTGTCTTTAAAGTCTAACTCATTCAATCCGATGGATTTTGGACATCATAAATTATGACCACAGACATTCAAAGATTTATTTTAAAACCCCAACACAAGGCTTAACTTAATTCAGTGCAGGGTTGTATAATGAAATTCAGATTACTCTTTATGTTTCTGTAGAAACAAAAGATAGAAAAAAACAGTAGATAATACAAAGACAACAGAAGATTTGAATGTAAAAAAATGACATTCAGTACAGCCCTAAATTCATTATCACCTATTGCTGTTGTTGCAGAGTGTTGTATAGATACTGATTGTGTCTAACTGTGCTGGAACTGTTTGAGGTGTGAGTAAACTACCATAAGCAGCATTAATGAAAGTTGCCATATAAATCATATGTATAAAGTACTAAATACAGTATACTGTTATCACATCCTGGTAAAACAATATTGGCAACTACTAAAGGTCTCCTAAAATACTGTAGATTGAGGACTAGGATTTTTTTAGGATTTGAAGGCGTTTAAATATAATAAAAAGACAAAATGAAATTGTTATTTTTAACGTTTAGATTACGTTTCAAGATATAAATCTAAAAGCTTTTTATAATAATAATAATAATAATAATAATGATAATAATAATAATAACAATAATAATAATAATGCATAAAATTGTCTAAAAAGTGTAGAAACATTATCAGGAAGACTCTGATCCATCCAAATTGCTCCTTTTACACAACCTTCCTGCAGTTATTGTGTTAATTATTTGGGTTCATTGTACACTTTATCAGTTATTCTGTGCTGTTATTGCTATGCACTGATCCATAATATTGTCACTTAGGACCCCTGGGGGTCGTCAGTTGACTCAGTGATCCCTTTAGGGCTCCCTTAAGGACAAAGGTGAGGAACCACTGCTTTATATATTACATATTATACAAACGCACTTAATATTATCTTAAGTGGACCATAACACACCTGCTGCAGTAACACAATGTAAACAGGCGGAAGAGAAGCTAATAGTAATAACAGGACTTACAATACACACAATATATAGCTGTAGTAGCCGCTACAAAAAAAAAGGGGGGCCTGCTAGCATGTTAGCTAGCCCGCCGGCAGTCCTACCATACATGCCGACGTCAAACTGGGTCAACAACCGAAAACGCGAACGTCTTGCCGGCCCGCCATGTTGTCTTTACTTCATACTCACCGATGTCTCCGAAGAAATATGGCCGAGCATTTTCAATTTCCATCCTGTGTCTCTTCTTCTACGTGAAGAATTAACGGCGTTAACGGAGAAACACCAACACGAGAGGTTTGTAAACAGCCGCGTCCTGGTAATGTTTACGTGCGGCAGGAGACACGTGACGTACCTGGAATCGAAGCGCATTCTGGGATTTGTAGTGTTTGCACCAAATAGGCTATTTCATGATATATGTGAAGAACTAAACAAATACGTCGGGACAAATAACGCTGCATAATACATAATATTATATTACAATACAATGACATCATTAAAGCAGTATTGATGACATCAATCTTGAGTCACATGACATGCATTCAAGAAATTTAATTATAACCCCACATGTTTCAACTTATAAGCAGATATGTTGTCCATGATGCTCCTTTTTAGAGATGTTGTTATTTCAAACCAGTCTCTCTCTCAGGTTTAGAAATCCATTCATGTGTCAGTCTATTGATGTGGGATGATGACAGTACTGCAGGTAGCTGTGGATGCGGTGGGATATGTCCAGCTGACCTATGACCTCTGAGGCTCTGGTACCGAGCATCATCCTCACAACGATTCTACAAAGCTGCTGCAGGCTCAGAGGATTACCTGCGGAGAAGAAGGGGTTTTCATAAGCTACCATGAGTTACAATAATCAAAAAGCAAAACTGAGAAAGGAAAAAGACTGCTGATCGCTCTCTGAAGCAGACTTACTTTCATAAAACATGAGGCAGGTGTGAGCCGGAGACGCAGGTGTTGTGTAGTCCACAGGCTTTCTTCCCAGGTTGTCGCTGGCGTACACATTGGCTCCGAACTCCACCAGCAGCTCGATCATGTCCACCATGTGGACTCGTGCCGCATGGTGCAAAGCTGTCTCATGGAACTTCACTGAATTCACATTGGCACCTGCAGGAAGTTGAGATGAGCATAGGCCAGTTTGCTGAAGTAGATCTTGTAATTATGATGCACTTCCACCCTCATACAGTGCTATTACAGGTGAGAACACATCCTGTATTACTGGGCTCATGTTGTTTGCTTGGTGGTGTATTTTTCTTTGTCCTGCTGCACGTATCAAACATGAAGTCAGTCACTCAGAATCCAACAAACAAGGGACTCTTTTTAGAGCAGTCACTCTGCACTGACATTCAACAATCAATCAATCAATCTGAGACTAATTTCTACACCCCAATGGACCAGAATGCAATGCAGCCACACAGCAGCCACTGCTGTTGATTTTTTCCGAGGCATATCACAAGGATTTAAAATGATCATGTCTATTGTACAAACACAAGGAATTATTTATATGTTGTAATGGGCAAACTTCAGATTGCATTCATTTGTCGTAACACTAGATTTATAAAGAATATGCTTGTAAAGTTCACTTGTTACTGTTCTGTTTTCTCATTTTTAAATCTTTTGACGACTTGACCAAAATATGACCAAGAGATGGGAACTCTTGAACAGAATATTTATTTAAATCATCAGATTAAAGGAGGCAGAACCAATAATTAATAAGGAATGAATGACTTGCACCTGCACAGGAGTGGTGTAGATATTAAGTTGTATCTTAAGTTCAGGGTATAGCCCCGGCTACTTTGAAACTAAGCTAGTTTTGAACTTTCACATAGCTGGTGCAACAGCCTTGTCATTGTGAGAAATTAAGGAAATCAGTAACAAAAGCCGAATTAGAAGAGGTAAAAATTGTCAAACCATGACTGTAAACCTGGAATAGGTTAATGTTTCTGTAACAGTAAAACCAGCTCATGGCAAATATTACAGTAGATTGCACAGAAAACCACCATCATAGCATTCATATGCTATTTTCATATAACAAAACTTTTCTTTTGACAGTAAAAACTTGTATTTATATTTGAAAATATGGATTAAATCTTAAAATCAACAGTACTAATATCCTATTACCGAAATAGTAGAAAAGGTTCTACTATATTTTTTTACAGTGTCTGTAAACTGAGACGTGACACTGCCATTCAACACTTTATGGCTTAATAGTACAGGATGGGTCTATTGTTTCACACACGTTCTTCTTGCTGACCTGCACTGAGCAACTCCTTGACACAGTCCACGTGTCCTTTAGCACATGCGATGTGGAGGGGTGGACCAAAGTGGACATCGTAGGCCTCCAGCTGGGCACCGCTGGCTATCATCAACTTCACTACTTCAACTTTACCTGAGAGGAATGTACAGTTGTATTAGCAGTGAGGCTGGGGTAGGACTGGTTGAACCCTGTGTTATTGCTGCCGGAGCAGGGGTTACCTTGTATGCAGGCCTCGTGGAGTGGCGAGGCGGTGAGGGCTGTGAGGGACGGGTTAACTTTGGCACCATACTCCAAAAGCAGCTTGGCACACTCCAGGCTGCCAGAGGCACAGGCGTGGCACAGAGGAGTGCTGCCATGGATGGTCCGTACGTCCACCTGGAAGAACCAGGGGAACAATTCACATATTAGTGTTTTCCATACAGCTCTAGATTACGTTTAGAGAAATATTACACATACTAGGAACATAATCGCCTGTATGCTGTAGATAATGTTTGAGATAAATCCATGTTTAACTTTTAAGACTGTAGGTTGCTTCACATACCTCACAAAGGTACTATTTATTCTGTATTAGATTGCATCAGCGCTGTTCATGAACATTTGAACTTTTTAATTTCTTCATATCTACACAAGTCAGGTTTGGTCCTCCATGATGGTTCATCCCACCTGGGCTCCAGCCTGCAGCAGCAGCCGGGCACAGTTCGGATGAGCCTGTATGCAGGCTTCATGCAGCGGAGTGATGTTGTCCACCGTCACCATGTTGACCGACGCCCCGCTCTCTATCAGCTGCTTCAGCTGCAGGGCCCTGCCGTGGGACGCCGCTTCATGCAGGGCAGTCCGGTCGGCCCAGAAGCCTTATACACAGTGACAACGGTACTTTTACAAATATAGAGGGACAATGACAGCTTTGTTCAGTTTTTCTATGTTTTATATAAATACTTGCACATCTCACAAGTTTAAAAATATTTATATAAAGCTGCTTTTATTTTATTTTATTGTACTCTGTAAAACTCTTTATTACTTCTCTGTATTTGTGTCAATAAAATGTTGTAACTGTCAATCATACAATCACTATTTTGTAGTATTTAGCTAGTATGGTGTAGCCTGTATGGTTCACGTTGTTCTACGTCATATCAAACATAACACAAAAAGTGCCAGTGTCACGAGCAGGGCACGAGGCCACGAGCACGAGTTAATATGATTAGACGTCAACAAAGTCAACCGCCATTCCTGACGTTCTTTGAGGCAGCTAACGTTTGCCGGTGTGTGTAAGCTGCTGTAAGCTGAAAATTATCGACAGTGCTCACCGATATCGCAGAGGAACGACCGGCGCGCCGCTGTCACCTCCATGTTTTTACCGGTAAAGCACTTTGAGCGCGGGGATACGACCGGCAACCACTGAAGCAGAGGACTCACAACATTTGCTGACGCTGCAAGCGTCGAATGGAGAGGCAGCACAGAATTGTGGGAGTCGTAGTTTACAGGCGTGCGGACTCTTGCCCGCTGCTCAGATATATTCTCGTGGTATTTCCCCAGTTTAGGTATACACACAGTATCGTGCAGAAGACGCCGATTATATTCCACAATGTTTGTGACTTGCAGAAGAGCTTTCAGGTTCCAGATGTAAAACCATTAAGTCCGTTTAGGTTTTGCCCATGGTACTTTACCTCAGTAAAGTATAAATCAATAACCGTAGCTGTTTAGATACATGAAGCACATTTCCTGTTTCTAACTGCATATAATTAGCCACATTCTTTTTCAGTCAGACCTTTTTTGGATTATGCCAGGAATTCCTAACAGCAAACTAAATGTGGCTATTTTAGGAGTAGACCTGCTCTATTTGAAAAGGGCCCAAGATCATTTGTTATATTTTGGCACTATGTGAACAAAACTCAATTGCTACAACTCTACTACTCCCCTACAGACATCTGAATATCCTGATGCTTCTCTTTCCTCCGTGCTGCTTTGGTTGTACAATACATTAACCAGAAATCATGCAATTGTCAATAAATAACCAGATATTTCCAAACTTAAGTTCAGGGATGATTCATCTCCACTCAGCATCACTAAAAAGCTGCTGTGTGCAGCAGTATTTGTGTTGCACTCATTCACCAGTTATCATTAACTCCACACAAACACTGCCTGAAATATAAGAATAAAGGAATAAATAATCAAATACAGCTTTGGTTTTTGACAAAGTTGTTTTTACTTTGCAGTACAGAAATCATTTGAGCCCAAGATGTTTTTTTGTTTTTTTAAAGTTGTTCACAACAGAGGATATCACAGGGCTCTCATCAATTCAATACTGCTGCAGTACACATTTGGTCCTTAAGCAATTACAGTCAACCACACCTCCCATAAATCTGCTGTTAATGCTCGGGTCATCCATCACTTTGCATAATACAGAAACTAATATATCTCCTCTGATGCGTTATAATGAATCAAGCTGTTTGAACAGGTTCAGGTGGTTTATGCTGGACTACAGTGGCCCTTGTGGCTCGGCTTACAGTACGTGTCTGGCTGTGCTGTAGGTTAGACAGGAGAGGGGTTAAAAAGACACATACTTATACAGATACTTCAACCACTTTAATTTCACAACATCTGACAATATAAGCTGGCTTCGGCTGAGGGGTCACCTCTGTGTGCTGTTTGCTGGGCTTGAATACACTGAGTGAGGAACACACATGATTCGATTCTGATGCACAAAGCCAAGCCACTTCTCCCTCCCCCTGACATGAAAAATTACCTGCAGACTAAATAACTGATGTATAGATATTATATATCTTCCCAACGCCTTTTACACAATGACAAAAAGAAAAAAAAGACAACCGCCCCCCATACACAACCACTCTGTAAGATAGTACTGATTATGAATTATAGTTTGATTTGGCATCTTTGGACTATGCATCACTTTAACATGATGGAGTAGAAGAATGTAGGGTATTACTGTGGATGAGGCATAACCAGCATTTAGTGCAACAACCATTTGAATGTGATTTGAAAAAGCATATCTCCCTCCCTGAACCCTATCCAACAATACTATATCATATCTCTCTATATATCATGAACTTCCTCAATGGGCAAACCATATGCTTGGATAATCAGCCAGCCCACTGGTGTGTACATTTTTTGTGTAGGTTTTTCTATTTTTAAGATTTCAGTTGTCGGCAGCGTTGTCTTGGATGATCAGGAGTGTTGCGGACGCTTCGCCTCTACTCTGCGTCGCCGAAGATGTCCTGCTTCTTGCGCTCCATCTCGGCAAAGTCAAATTCTGAGCCCGTCATCCTCCGGTAGATGTCCTTGATGTCGTCACAGGTGGTCTCGAAGTGAGTTGTGGCGTCGTACGAACGCGAGATGAAAATCTAGACAGGAGAAATAAGGTCAAATAGTGCTCAGCAGATCTTCTTTCAGTGTCTAGGTCAGATAAAGCTGATTCTTAATTGATGCCTCAAGTCAGGGGTTCAGAGTAGGTCTATATTTTGTTAAGAAAACTGAATGAAATTGTGTTTTTAGAAAGTATAATTAATAATAAAATATACATAATACTGACAGAGAATGTATAAAAAGTTCCTAAAACCATCAGAAAACTCACCTCTGATGTTATATTTACAGAAAATAATCTGCTCAGAATGCATCTAAACCACTTTACACAAACTTCCTGCAGTTATTGTGTTCACTGTTTGGGTTCATTGTACAGTTTATCAGTCGTTCTGTGCAGTTAATTTCCATAAAATATGTCACTTAGTCAGAGGTCGTCAGATGATTGAAAAGGGGTCTCTTAAGGAAAAAGGTTGGGAACCACTGCCTTAAGTCAACGAAAGACAAACAGTTACATTGCAACAGATTTTTGAAGATGGAAGGAAACAGGTGTCAAAAACAAAGAATAGTGTGTCCTATGCTGGACATATTGCTGTCCCAACTTTTTCTGTTTACACACGATGGCAGAAAAACACTGCAGCAAAGTCGGCATGTTCTTACATAACAGCAACATGTGGTGCTACATTAAAAGGTCCAAACCATTAGTCAGTTGTACGTATAGTGAATGAGATGACAACACTGTAGTCAGGGTTAGTTTTTGTATTCTGAAATACTCAAGGCTGCTGTGGTCCTAACACTGGGCACCTGACATTACATGTAGGAAGGCAAGCATAGGACCACAATACACCTGGGTGAGCTGAGGTGACGTGTTTTTTTTGTTTTTTTTTAACAGCGCATGAGAGGCATGCAGGAACCGGACTTTTCTTTGTTTTTTAGTTTGCTTGGTTGTTTATAAATACAATATCATCTCAAACAAGTCTGCTACATTCCCACAAACTGAAGTGAATAGAAACAACAAATGGTTGCTCAAACAGTAGAAAAAAGGAACACTGGATTTGTTGTAAACGGGTTAAAACATGCAGTGTGGTTCTTTATGTTCCACCATATCCCACTGATTTACCTGGCTGTCAGTGCCCATGTCAGTGGGTGCATACTGGTCACTAATGCTGACAAACTTCTGCTCGATGGGCTCCAGTAGGTCCAGGGCCGGTTTGATCTCTTTCTCAGGGTCGTTTGTCTCCACCGTGGTGCTGGCGATGGCGACGTATTTTCCCTGTGCTGCCACGTTGTGAGCAAAGGACATCATACAAACGTAGATGTCTGGAAATAGAAATACTTAAATTAATGTCTGACTGTTACAAGTTAAAATATCATTATTTAATGTTATCTGTCTATTTGGTTGTTAGTAGGTACATTTAATCTGGTTCAGCTTGCAGTCTATGCATTGTCTATTCATTGTCATTGCTTGTTTAAAGCAGAGGTGTCACACAGGATTTTACACATATTTCAAACAAATCAAGGGCATGTATTTATCATTATGTAACACAGGGTTGTATAACAAAATAAAAGTTTTCAGTCCTTCATGCTAAACACATAAAAAGATAAAACAAAAGAAAATATTTTGATCAGAAACACTTTTCTGCACCTGAAGTTAAAAAAACTTGCCTTTGCCTCTGCATATCTGCAATTGTTGTCATCTGACATCTACATTGAGCTCACATGAGGACACTGTCTTTTTTCCTTCAAGATGTATTTAATATAATAAAGAACTGAAATACTATAAAGTCTAAGTCATCTGTTCACTTCCTGTGTGCGCTCACCGTGCTTCCTGTTGACCTGATTCTGGGGGATGATGATCTGGCAAGAGTTGATGTCACCGGTGTTGGCGATGGGGTGACTCAAGATGCAGATGACTCTGATCACCTGACCCACTTTGGTGGCGCGATCCATAGCGTAGCTGGGATCACAGATCAGCTGCTTGCACCTGGCGATCTGTGGTGGTCAAACACAGCCAAAGGTCAGAGGCCAAGAGAAAATATAATAATGGGTGACAGTGGAAACATCTTTTCATCATTAGGCAAAATATTTGTAGGATCAAACCAGGAAATGAGATTAATGGGTTTGTATTGACAGTTCCATGTCAGTACATATGCCTTAAAGTCAAAGGTTCGTATAGTCCAATAACATACAATGTCTCAATGGGCTTTACAGGCCACTCAAACAACAGATGTTTAACATAGGAGTCCAACACATTTGAAAACAAAATGCTCACCTCTCCCTCAGACTTGACTCCCACCACCTTCCCATTCTCCACCACGATCTCCTCTATGGGCTTGTTCAACATATACGTCCCACCATAGATGGCACTCAGCCTGGAAAAGAACCACAATGTGAGATATTACTTCCTATGAAAGTGCTACTCCACTCTAAAACATTTTTCTGGAGCTGTAAACTAAATCATATGACTGTACTATGATGAAACACAATAATGCGGTATTGTTTTCAATCACCCTGAACCTTGTAAATCCAATGCTGAGATAGTCTACAGTTTGGGGCATAAAAACAAAAAGGTGTTAACGCCCTCTAATCAGAGGAGGGACTGTGCACCTCCCTCAGCCTCCACTGAGTAAGAGTCTGCTGAAACCACTGTGCTCATTTTCCAATGTATACTGATCGAGACACATTCTACGCATCTACTTAGTAATTTTCTATTCTGGCGCAGTGGTTCAGACTTGTGCTTTATATGCTGTAGAAGTACCGGACAACAATGTTTATCTTGATAACACACTAACAGTCCTGCCACAGACACACACACACAGACGTGTCTAACAAAGAGTTAACCCTTAGCTTAGCTACAACACAGCCGCTAACCCAGATACAACACAGGTACCAAGGGATAAAATATTAATAATGTAACCAAAGACAATATTTAACACTGAATCGACAAGTTGGCTGCTGATATGGTTAACAGGGGCTCTAGAGTATATTGTGTGAACATATTGTGTGGAATTGCACACTAATATTAACATTTATTTTTTATCATCCTTTCAGCACTTTCACTCACAAGGTTCATTTTCCAGGCACAGACCTTCATCACAGGGGACAGTTTGACAGATTCTAGCCGGGAAAGCACAGGT